GGACCATTTTTCTGTAAGCTGTCACTGGTGACACAATCCACCCATTAAACTGCATAGATCAGCCTTACTTATCTAGGAAAAGATAAGACCACTGCTGTGTCAAGCAACTAGAAATCTGATCCTGAAATATTTTGGTGATGCATGACAACCAAGGGACAGGATCCATATAGTTACTGATGAGGGTACCGTGGCAGAGTTGGTCTCCTGCATGGGGCTGTGAAGACAAGGTCTCTGCCTCAGAGAATGTGCAGTCTAGAGAGGTGGTGTGCAAACTAGAAGATGGAATGAAGGTGCACCTTCATTAGATTTCTTTCTTAGCTATTTTAGTTAATTTTTTTAAAGCATAGGAAAGGTTTTTGTTTTTTTTTCTTGCCTAAGGACAAGGCAAAAATGTGTCCAGCTTTTATTTCATTTAAAGAGTCTTTGCTTTATTGAGAACTATGTTACCACACCCACAAGGGAGCTTTGAACATGTCTATTTCAGTGCCTTTAATATTAGCCAGAACTTCTAAGACAGCACCAAAGGGAAAAATGAGGTCACTGGAAAGGAATGGCTAGAAATTGTAAATAAGATTCCTTATAGGGCTTATGTGGGAGATGAGAGTGATAGTGATGTTTGAAGTTTACCATCTGTGCCCAGGAAAAGGAAAACATCCTGATACACAGATGGCCAAGTATACTTTCATGCTGTTCTTTTCAGAGAGGAAAAAAAAAAAAGTAGTCTCTAAATGCAGTTCTCATAACTTTGAGTTATGCAGCGCACTCAAGTCATGCTTTTGTGTTTTTTTGATTTCACTCTGATCTTCTGTTTATTTATTTGTCATCAGATACAAAAGCATAGCAGTTGTCTCTTGACATCCACTTCAGACTTTCTAGATTTTCTGTCATTCTGGCTTAGTAGAGCATGGAATAATACTGACTGATACTAGTGGATTGAAATAAAAGAACATTTGAAAGTAATGGTCATGTCTCTGCAGAGGCATAAAAAATGAGATAAACGCAGAAACAGGCTTGGGAATGAGGCCCCAGTGCCTAAATGCCACCAAGCACTAAGGAACCAAAATACTTTGAACAGTGTGTAACTTACTGATTCTGGTCATAAATCTTCTGTGAACTTTATACAGCCCTGCCACTGTGTGGAGTAGAGACACAGCTTAGGGAGCCTTCCTGACCTGTGTAGGGCTTTGTTTGGAAGTGAAGATGCCATTTGTCTCAAGACTTAGTGATATAGAATGGGGTTTGAACACCCCTGGACCTACATCCCTGATACAGCTGTAAAGACGTCAGCATTTCCAGTCAGGCCTGTCAGTGGAAGGCCAGGCGTTGGTACGCTGCAGTCTTTTCATCCAGGTTTCTTATCACTTCTTTGCAACACAGTGTGGAATGTCTAAGCAAACTTCATTTTTTTTTTTTTTTTTGGTAGGAAGCTGAAAAACCCATTGCAAGGTCCAGATTTTCTGTATAAAGTTTCTCCTGCATCTGATTTGCATGGCTGAGTTATAGCCCTCTAAATTACAAACAAAAGCACTGGCCAACTCTAGCTAACAGCTCTAATGGATACTATTATATTTCTGCTGCTAGTTGGCACTCAACCTTCACTATCTCATCAGCATAAAGGGATGCTGTCAACTTGACAAATTGTGTCTTCCTTAGAGGGGGAGAAAAAAAAAGCCATACCTACTTTTGTTCCAAACCAGGCTTTGCAAGAACAGTAACTAGAAGAGAGTAAGGATGCAAATGGGGTGCTATTTAACTGCCTCTGTTCAGTGTGTTTACTTGGCATATTTGACAGCGCTTTGTGGTATGTCAGTGTTATTTGTGTGCATTAGCACTTCCCCTCCCAGGCTGGCAAGATGATGCCTCCTGGGAGGTGGGAGTGCAGAGGGGTCAGGGAGGAGAGGGAATGCTTTTATCCCAAGCCTTGTTTTAACAGCAGCAGCAAAAGTGAGTGAAAAAGCAACAAGAGAATTTGTATGTACATTGCACAGGATGCCATTATACTTGGTGCACTGTTTTAAATTGATTTCTAACATGCTTGGGAAAGAAGGAACTCTCCCTCACCCTATTTTACTTCCTTCTCCAGAGGTGATTTTTACAGTGTCCTGCTCACTGCTGTTTAAAGACAAACCTATGCACAACTTACATTATCTGAGATAGACTGGTTTGGAAACATTCCAAACTGTCAGCATCCCTTTAAACACAATACTGTTCTTTCCCTTGTTTTCCCTTCTGGGTGCCAAAGATGTCCCCAGAGGACATTGCAACTAACCTGGCAAAAAAAAAAAAAAAAAAAAAAAAGGAAGAGTTCCTACTTCTTTGTCATTAAAATGACTGGCACGCTGCAGAAAACCGTCTGCTACTTCCATCTCTGCCAGCTTTGCCTAAAATGTGCTGAGCTGCCTCAGCCCACAAATATGTGAGCAGTTTAGAGACTTTTTGCTAACCAGCAGATAATATCGCCCTTCTGTTTTGGTTCTGTTTGGACTATGGTGGACACTCGTTTGCTCCCCAGTTCTTAGGAGGACAGCCCAGACTACTGGTTCCTGGCGAGAAACTGGCGAGGGAATAGAAATGGGAGACCAAGCTCGCCATCTCCTGGGGAAAAGGAATTTACGCTTTCAGAAATGTTTCTTTTATTTTATTTCTTCCTTTCATTCTCACTCTTTTTTCATTCACACATGCTGCAGTGTTTTGGCAGGAGATGATCAGGTGCTGTTCCGTGCTGAGCCATGCCGAGCTGTGCAGATCCAGGCCGGGCAGAGCCCTTCTCCATCCCTTTTTGTCCCTCCTCCATCGTCATCCTTCTCCCAGCTCTGCTGGGTTTTCAGGATCTTGGGGAAGAGTTTGGGTCTGGTTTTGCAGAGGGGGTGAGAGGAGCCCCAGGATGCCCTAAACCAACGAAGTTTTAAAAGCAGATTTACAAAGCAAACTTAGTTGCTATCACTGCCTCTCCTTCCACGATTTCTCTTAAATCTGCTCGAGAAAGTTTTAAAATAAAACATGCTGTGTTAAAAAAATAATCCTAAATGTGAATGGAGTCTGTCCCAGTTTAGCAATCTGGAAATATTCAGCTAACTGGTTAACTTATACCAAATTCTCTCAAAGACATCTAGGCTTGAGTGTTTTAGCAAACTAGGATAATGCTGAATCTAAGCTAATTTTTTTTTCTCTATGGAGGATTAGGCTGGATATTTGGAAAAGGTTCTTCCCCCAGAGGGTGGTTGAGCACTGAAACAGGCTCCCCAGGGAAGTGGCAGCACCAAGCCTGACAGAGCTGAAGGAGCATTTGGATAATGTTCTCAGGCACATGGTGGGATTGTCGGGGCTGTCCTGTGCAGGGCCAGGAGCTGGACTCCATCCTTGTGAGTCTCTTCCAACTTGGGATATTCTGTTGAGATATTCTTTTCGGCTTGCCATGCCAGCTCTGACCCTGCTGTGGTCCCTTCTTCTTCCTGTGACACTCGGTAAAATATGACAGTGAATTATGTCACGGGGTGGGTACACAGTGCTGGTATTTTTGTCATACACTTCACATGTACTTCAGCAGCAGCAACGTCAGTGACAAGACTCATAGGCATTAATAACTCCAGAAAAGAGGTTTATAGAGTGTTGAACAGCAACAGTCAGGTTCTTATGTGATTAAAAGGGCAAGGACCATTTGGCCACTGCCACATATGTCCTGTGGAGTTCAGGGACATTATAAAGCATATAGCAGTTGATCTAATTACTGTCTAGTCACAGTAAGACACCTAAGTTTTCACAGATAGTTACATTTCACTTCAAAAACTGATACTTACAGTGAGGCTTCTAAGGATATCTACAAATTTTTGGGTGTAACTAAAAAAATCAGGACTTTTTGCACATTCTCATCAGCCTTGTTACAAAAGTGTCCCTGCTGTAGTTTGTGAGGTTTAATTCACTGGTGTTTGTAGTGCAGCTGCAGTGCCTTCAAACTGCGGCCAGATGATGTGAACCATGAGAGCTGATGAAAACACTGGGCAGGATTACCAAATAATGATAGTGGGTAAGCCAAGGTCTTGCACTGTAATGCTACAGGGCTGTGTTAGTGCAGTGATATTCCTGACTTGGTTGTGGGAAAGTGGTAAACCAACTGGAGACTGACTTACACAACGTTAACCAACTCACACCTTGGAAAAGTCAGTTATTCAACAAGCAAGGCCCAAATGTCACAAGCATCAACCTCTTACATTAAAAGCAGAGTGAAAAATCAGCAACTACCTGCACAGTATCTCCATAGGGGGAAAGTATATGATGATGTAATTACTGTGTCATGGAGTAAAGCTTCTGACGAGGGGGTCAAAACATTGGAAAAGGGTCTGGGGAGGTGGGATTCCTCAGCTGCAAGTGCTGCCACTCTACAGCTTAGTGAGATGAATCTTTTAAGGGGTATATGAAAAGGACTGCTGAATTTATTAAACTGGCTACCTCTGTAGGGGCTATTATGACTCAGAACAACTAGTTATAAAGCAGCTGAAGAAATTACACCACTAGGTATGTCATTCCTAGTACCCGAGTAACTAGTTCCTAGTACCTAGTAAAGGAGATTAAGGTGGACTGTTGTGATTTTTAAGAAAGAAGTTCATTTAAAAAGAGACCTATCTAGATTTGTTACCAAAAAAAGCCTTCTTCAATCCTGACTTGGGCAGGTGGTTCAATCTATACTGTTAAACTCTGTTATGTTCAGTGAAAATTAGATACTAAAAAAACGGAAACTAACATTTTTAACTGAGGTCAAAACAATTCTAAACCATATTACTAGTAATGAAATACCTTGATTTAAGTGGAATAGTAAGACCTCAGTTATAAACAAAAACTTTGTACAGATGGTAGTTTTGGAAGAGCTTGAATATGTAATTTTCACATATTAAACCCCAAACTTAAAAACACAGTAGTTATTATACCTTTACCAAACCATCATGAGTCTTGTCCTCTACTGTTTTAAATCCATGTTTAAAGATCATTAATTGAAGTCGAAGCTAGAAATCTTAAAGCATTTTATTCTGAAGTTTTTCTTGCTCTCAATCACGTCTATACAATTTTTAGTCTGGACACCCTAAAGTACACATTTTCTTGCAATAAAAGGAAGCATTGTTTGTATTGTTTTGAATAAAACCAAGTAAGCTTTAATGTTTTTAATGTTTTTTAAACAGTCAGATCCAATATAATGTCTGAATTGTGAAATTACAACTTGACTTTAACTTGCATACTTATGCTTTACAAATAAATTTATCATTGTTTTGGTTACTGTAACTGAATTATCACTTGATAATAGTGTACATATTTTCTATTTCTCAAATACTGAAATAAGCTCCACTTCGCTATGAAGGCTTGTGGTTTTCTGGGAGAAGTAAATTCAGGTGATCTGCATACTATGACAGTTTGTTCTTGGACAATTCTTCTCCAGAAAGGAAGACTTGTGGTGGTGACCCCCTTTCAAGAGAGATACAAACTGTTGAGTAAAGAATGGCCACTTTGATTCTGAAAGGCACAGTGTGTAGAGCTTACTAGGCTTAGCCATTGAAAGTGGACAGGGATTTCACTGCTTCATAAGTATGAAGGCAAAATGGAAAGGAAAGAAAGAAGTTAACAAAAGAGGACAGTGTTGGCACAATAACAAGCTGATAACAGAGATGAGTACATTTAGGCTAGCCCTACCAAACAGCAGCAATATGTGGAGGGAGGATGAAAATCTGATTTTAAGAGAGCAGCAGGTATATTATTCTCTGTGTAGCAGTCCCTATAAAAAGGACTTTAATGTGAAGTATTCCTGCTGGCTGGGTAATGAGAGTCCTACTCAGCCTCTCGTTTTCTATACCTTTTTCTGAGCAGTTTCAACTCTTCTGGCTAAGGAGATAAGAACCAACAATAAAATACCTAACCATTTAGGCAAAGATTGAAGGCAAGCTGTCACAGCGTCCTAAATCTTGGGCTAGAAAATACCAGCACCTTATTTCAGAATGACTTGAGATATACCCCTTGAAGCCATGTTTGTCATGTCTCTGATCCAGGGGGCACATCCCTTTATTACAGTTCAACAAGCAACTTTTAGCTACGTGCAGATAGCTCCATTCTGACACTGGATAAGCCTTCTCAGTTTTAAGTCTTTCTTTTCTTTACAACTATTCTGTAGTTGTATAATGGTTTTACATGAGAACTCTATGCAACTATCAGTTCTTCATTCCATTAGAGTGTACATTTTGGCTATAACTTTACTATTTACCTCAAGGACTTCCTCTGTGTATGAACTTCCTCAGCTCCTCTAACACTACAGTACTTCATCCTGCATTATTTACCTCCTCGGTGATTCTCACCTTCTAAAACAGTATTATATAACCTATTTGAGATTTTTTTAAGGTTAGGCTGCAGAGGCAACAAAACTTCCTCAAACTGAAGCAGTCTGTTACAGATGCTTTTCACAGCTTGAATCTTACAGAACATATTCTTAAACATCCATCTTCTCCTTTCAGATTTCCCTATTATACATGAAATATACCAGTTTGCCTTGACATCACACCAAGCTTTATTATCTTTGCTCAAAGTAGACATTAACAAGTGACTTGTCATACAGCTGATCCTGATGCACGAGCTGCACTACATCATTATCTTTTAAAGGCACAGGTTTCATTTACACATATACTCTAAGCCTGCACTCTGTGGGGATGCATAAAATTAATTAACAAAGTTCCTGTAGTTTATGCACACTTCTTGAATGATTTCATGTTTCCAAACACAACAGACATGTTTTGTGTCTTGAAGGAGAGCCAAATGTTATATGACAGGTGGGACTTTGCCATAAACAAAGCATTTGGATCCAGACTTCTAGTTTGCAGCATTAGAGAAGGCCACCATAAAGAAGAGTCTTAATTTTGTTGATTTTCTGCACTTAACTCCTCCACACTCTCAATGCACATATATTTATAAACTTCTAGGTCAGGGTCATCACCTTAAATATTGCACAGAGCTGGTGCCCACGGAAAAAGGTGCCCTGAAACTGTATTATAATGAAGAGAAGACAGTAAAACATGAATCAATCTGAACAGGAAACAAAAGATCCTTCTTCAGCAAGAAACATGCACATCCATTAAACCAGCCTAGAAACTTGGCATCATCACAGAGAGGCTGAGGTAACCCAGGACATCTCTTCCAGAAAAGGATTCACAAAATCAATTACCATTTCATTCTTTAATTAAATGAAGATTTACACCAACAACAGAACACTTTGGAGAAGTATAGGCACATATTACCACAGAAGGGTTTCCTACAGTACAGACAACAGCCTTCAGTTCTTTACTTTCCCAGTTTGTTTTTTGTGCAGGAAAGGAAAGCCCAGAGTCCAATAAACCCCAACATGAATTATGTGAACTCCTTTTTTTCTTGTCAAACAGAAGGAGGTAATTAGTTCCTGCTAAAGACGTTCAGACTATAGTCATTTCACAAATGGTGCTACGCAGCTGATCAGAAGGGAATGTGCATAATTGCCCTGTTTCAAAGCATTATCCTGTAATAACAATCTGCCTCATGGCTGTGCTTCACTGAGAGAGAGAGAGAGTGCTACATCTAGCATGCACCTCAGTACGTGCACATTCCAGAGAGAAGCACCCTCTTTTTCTAATACTGGAAGGCAGCCCATTAACCAGCTTGAGCCTTTTAGATTCTCATTTTGGGGCAAAGGGATAGCACTTGTTTCACTGGCTGCAGCTATTTGCTCTTTCCAGCTACAATCCTTGTGATTAAACCCAGCTCTGAGCCCTCCAATTCTCTTCTGAAATGGTGAACAGCTTTTCTTCAACAATACATTGGGAAAGCACTTTTTGGTATCAGACCAAATGAATATTTGAGTGTTAGCTTTTGAAAGCTATCTCATTAATTCAATAAAGAAACTTCTTCAGTTTTGTTTTGCTAAAACAGATGATGTGTTACACACTGGACTGCAACATACGAGAGCTGTAGGTAGAGAATACTTCCCTTCCTTGCTGCTGGAATCCGTGCCATTGAGTATTCATTTGTTTGCAACGGCAGAAAGTTGGTCCCGAATCCTTCCTAGACCTTCTAACATAGTGTCCAGGGTTTCTTTACTCAGTTCCACAGTCAGTGCAGAAACAACAGGATTATTTCCACATAAGGCAGCATCTTCCTGAATCTTAAAACAGGAATGTAGACATTAGTTGTATTAAAAATTCATTCACATGTTTTTCCAGTACCACTACGAAAGTCAATGTTTAATAGGCAGATTAAGAAAAATGCTTTAAATTTGGAATCCAGCTCCATCCTCAAGGACCACAGCATATTTTCTAAGCTATGTGTCCCACTATTGAAGTGCTCTCCCACTGACAGAGTACCAGTGAGCATCTACTGCCATGAGTATTGGGAAATTTTGAAGAGACTTGCGGCAGGAAGCCACATCTGTATCAAAACCATCTTAGCAGAAACCACATAGGATACTTAACCCCATCCCACACACAGAAATTAGATTTTTTTTCCTGATCCTCTGAAACCCACTCATCCCACTTTTACTGGCTGGGGGGAGCCAAAACTCTGCAGAACAAAAGCAATAAGTTTAGCTATACTCCCCAAATAATAGATGTGGCCAGTAAAGGAAGATATTAGTAATCTAAAGTAATTTCCCAGCTAATGAAGTCAGTTAAACATGCTGATGAGTGTTTAGAATTAAAGGACAATGACTTCATAAATTATCTTCTCTTTTTCTGTAGAGAACAATGGTGATTGGGAACAAATATGCTGAATTCTGCATTCTCATGTACAGAAAATTCTCCCTTGAAAGAAAAAGCTTCCATCAGAGGCCTCATTCCCAGGCTCTATGGCATTTCAAATACCATCTCAGAGTCTAACTGCCCACCAGGCAAAAGGCAAGCACCAGATGCCTGTCTGAACCGGTTTGCACTACCACTGGCAAGGCAGGTGTCAGACTTGATTATTTTGGTCCTTTAGAGCCACTGACATTACCTTTAACTGAAGCAGGCAAGTAGGGACTGCCATTCTTATGATGCTGTCTGAAGACGTCTTGATGTCCACCCTCCAGTCCATGTCGACCAGCCGAGGCAGGGAGACTGAGGGATTAAACAAATGGGTCTGTTGGGCCCAGCAGCACATGATTATACCAGACCCTGGAGCCTGTGACCACATGGACCATGTACATGCTGCTCCACTTCTGGCTCCAGGAAGTGTACAACTTTAGTGCTACTACATTGCTTCACATAATTTTTAATGTGAAATAAGCCAGTCTCTGACGGCCTTCTCATGACATCAGAAGGACAAAAGGGGTTCTCCCATCATTACATGCAATGATAGCACAGTGCAAGACAAGCATAGGTCAATTCACAAAGCAGCTGGGAGAAGGAGAGCAGTAAGATGTCCTCTCTACATCTTCATCCCTGCCTTGCTACCTGCAACACTGAACAAGTGTTTCATCAGGAATTGCTCTGGGACCTGCATGCTTACTGCTCTGCTCTGAAACTGGTAAGAAAGCACATAGGAAAGCTCTCAAAATCCAGCAGTATAAAACATGCTATTTCAAGTTACTCAGCCTGTGAACCAAAGCATCCTGCAGTACAGCAAATGTACTGGTAAACTGCAATTTTCACGTGTCCTGTCAATTCGTTACAAATATTTTAAATGTCATCCTAATTCCATGCAGCCTAACAGAAACCATTTAACAGTCTGCTATAATACTGACACCAATAGCTCAGGGCTGGAGACCTCATGAGCCCTCGCAAGGAAATGAGGACAGGTCTATCTTGGCTGCTAAGGAAAGAGCTGTCTCAGAAGGCAATTGCAGCCTCTCTGGATTCTGCCTATCATAGGATGCCTAATTTCCTCCCCGGGGGTTGATTGCTAGCCTTCCCACTGATTCCAGAGGCTCAGGTTGCTTCCTAACTGTGCTTTATTGCCTAACAGAATTTTTTCTCCCTCCTCCCGCTGCTTCCCTGTGCAGACCTTCAGGGGGCAGTGCACAACTGGCTGCCATGCTCCTGCTTTTGGAACACATTCCAGTTCACATCCAGGGCCAGCACTTGGCAGCATTTGCAACAACATAAAATGCATCTGTTTAGCCTTTTATGTTAATTTGCAAAGACTGATTGCTGGTGGCTTGGGAGGGGCAGGAAACCATTCACTTTTTTATGTTAACACAGATCAGTGTTGGAATGCCTGCCTTGGTTCCTATGTAATGTATGTCAGATATTTCACGAACACAATACTAAAATAATCCATCAATTCCTGCAAGACAATCTCATTTCAACAGTGTTAAATATTCATCTAATGAATACAAAGACATGAGCATCTGAGTAGAGCTCCTGGGTGGTGCTCTAAGAGCCCCACAGCCAGCCTTGCTTCTGGGTCGTGAAGGCATAGCCAGTGTGTTATGCTGGTGTGTCATGCTTGCTCTCATCTCCTCCAAAACATGGTAGCATTAAGGATACAGGAGAAAGCATTATCTGCCTTGGTAACACTGTTTAGTGTAAGCAACTAGTGTATTAGCATTAGGCAATAGTTTCTTACCTCTCTCTATTTATACTCCACTAGAACTTTGAGGGACAATGAATTTCCAGGTCTTCCAATACTGTTTAGCTGTTGGACATTACCTCCTCTGCAGGCAAAGGAAAGGCTAAAGAGGATCCATGCAGACCTTGGAGCACTCTGTTATATATCAGCTCTCAGTTATAAGCCTCTAAGTGCTACAGTTGTAAAGAAAACCTCTTGGGGAGAAAACTAAGTGTTGTAGCTGCACAGAACACCTAACTGGGATGTAACTCATTGGCCATGTTGCTATTGTTAAAGCTGGCATTTCTTAATTACATCACTGTTTAGAAAGGTGAAGAAAAAGCAGGTATAAATATATGCAGTGTACCTACTGATCCGTGAAAATGAAAGAATGCACAGGATTGACTAGGTATGCAAGGATAAGGTATTCCCCAATATACACATATCCTTTACAGTGCAGTTATTGCATACAAACATCCCTTAATGATGTGAATGGGGAAGACAGAGTGCTTCAGTTTCAAAAGTTTAGCAAATAATTGCTATACATTGCGCCCTGCTAGGCAGCCACAGACTGAGCTTTAAATGGAACTGCTTGAGAGCTAGAAACAATTTAGCACAGCCACACAGATCTGCATACAAGCTTGTTGGCTTCTGCTAAACCCTGCGATGCCACAATCTTACAGCTCTATCTAAGCCCTATGGTGATGACCCTGTGCTACATTACCATGCCCTGTTCTATACTCTAAGCTGAAATGACCTCAGAAAACATCAATTCCATCAAGATGTGAACTACAACTTACTCTGACTTGCTTGTGCTTCATTCCTCCAAGCAGAGCTGTGAAAAAGTGGAGAAAAACAGTATCAACAGTGTTTTGAGAAAAAAAAAAAAAGAAAAAAGGTAGGGCAAGCACTTAGTGTGGCTTATCCCTGACAGAAGGGTCACCAGCGGTAAGCAGGGGACAGAGACTGACTATCCTACTGAGTGCCAGGAAAAGGCTGTCACTGGTGGGTAATGGTAGGCACACTGGTGACCAGCTATTGGTTCTTCTGGAAGTGCAGCTCACTTATGGCATGTACCTTTCTCCTTGGTTTTATCAAAGCAATGGGCTCCCAAGCACTGAGTTGTACAAGGATGCAGATTTGCCCTCCTCTGCCACCATCTCACACATGCTCTATAACATACCTCCACACCTGAGCCAAGGTGGCAAGTGGATGGGCACTTGGATACTACTTGGATTTTCTAGTGCCGAAATCTAGCCCTCTAAGCTTTATTGTCATCTGTAGCATTTTTCCACCACACAGGTGAGTTGTTAGGATAAAAGGGCCTATGCATGACAGGAATGAGACCCATGTCCATTTCAAAATTCATGGGAAGACCCTGTGCGCTCATGGCTGTTTGCCATTCCACTCAGATGCCATATTTCGTTCAACTCTACTCATCCCAACCTGTGTGATTATTCCTAAGGGACATGCGAAATTCACAGAAACAAACCTTTGCATGTTGCCAAATACCCACATATCAAACCACATGCAAAGCCTTTAACTCTTCAGCTGAAAGGAAATGGCAGTGGGTAGCACTCACATATTCTCCAAGATTATCTTTGTCAGAAGGTTTTTCAGATTTTGGTGGAAGTTTTCTGGGAAAAGAGAGAGGATATCTTCTGCCCTCGTCAAGCCGCGGTACACGACATGCCTGGTGAGGCTGTGCAAAGCAGATACCAGCTGTCAGAAAGGAAGAGGAGAAAGGGCTCTGCTGGGTTGAAAAGCATCACATACAGCACGGGACAGACCTTCAGCAGCCAGGAGAGACACAGCTTCTGCTGCGAGACCGACACCGCCAGGGCCTCGGTCATCCAAGCACGGCCTGGCAGCCTTAGCAGGAAGGGAGCCGAGGTCCCCGCTGCCCTCCGGTTCGCAGCCTCAGCCAGTTCCCTTCCGCCTCCCTGTGCGGCCCCTCGGGACCGTGCCCTGGGCCGAGGGTCGCCGTTACCGAGCTCTTACCGCTACAGCAGCGGCTGCGGTCCCGCGGAGCCCGCACCTTCCCGAGGGCTGGGCCGCCCCTGCGGGCCGTTCCTGGCGCCTTCCCCCTTAGCCCCGCTCCCAGCGGCTCTCCCTCCCTCCCGCCGGGGCCCGCGGCTGCCCCGCCCGGCCCTACCTGCTCCGCTTCCTCGGGGTCGGCGGTGAGACCGGGGCAAGCGCGCTGGGCCAGCGGGCGGAGCGCGGCGGGCGGGCTGGAGAAGCACTCCTGGCACAGCTGCCGCACGGCGTCCTTGGACGGCGCCTGGCGGGGAGCAAAGCGTGGGGCGCTCAGCCGCGGCAGCCCCCGCGGCCGGGCCGGGCGCCCCGTCCCCCGCAGCCCGGGGCCCGCTCACCTTCAGCAGGCTCTGCAGCGCCGCGAACTCCTCCTCCCGCAGCGCCGCCATGTTGGCGGCTCAAACGAGCCGCGCCCCGCCCGCCGCCATCGCGGCGCCGTCAGCGGGGCAGGCGGGGCCGGGCGGGCAGCGCGGGGGGACCAGGGGCGGGTGGGGGGTATGGGGGACCGGGGCGAGCCCTTAATATCTCGCCTTGCTACTTCCGGTCCTGTTTCTTGTCGGCAGTGCAGATCCTTACGTTGGATGTAGAATTTAACTGTAAACGCGCTATTTCCAGCCAGCGGGAACTGAAGGCAAAGGATTTAACATGGCACTGCTGCAGTGATACGGACCATTGTCTTAGCAAACTGCATCTTTTTCACTTTGTAAAGAATTAAAATAAGTCCTCTTTCTGAGAAAGTCTTCTCTTTGTCTTGTGTGGTTCCCAGCAGATCTGGTCCCAGGGCATCGGTAATTTACTATCTTTCCCCATCACCGCCTCTGTCACAGCATCCTCATTCTCATTTCAGTCTGCCTAGGTTTGTTACACGGTGTGAAACACAAACATATAAATGCTTCCTGCATTGAGCTCCCCAAGCTTGGCAGGGAAAAGGGCTTACTCAGAGCAACTGATTCCCTGCTACACATTGGGACAGACAAGAAGGGGAAGGGAAGAATGGTGAGATCCTAATTTTTTATTTCCAAAATGAAAGGTTTGCAGTTAGTGGGCTAAACAATAGCATTCCAAAGGAAAAAAACCCAAACAAACATGGAGTAGTGGTTAGAGGTTGAGGTTTATGAGCTAGGAAACTTGAATCATGTTCTCTTGACCTTACTTCAATTTTCAGATGAATCAAGGTAGGTCATTTTTGTCATGAGTGATAGGAAGGTAATAGTACTCACTGTATAATATAACATACTGCATTAATAAACGTGGGCATGTATTAACCTCAACAGTAAGTTTAGAGGTTTTGAAAGGATAAACAGAATGAAGGCACTGTGAAAAAAACAACACTGTTACAATATGAGCAAGTATGCCTAAAGGAAATGTGGATTGTTCAGAAGATATCACTTATTATTGTAATTGTATTATTGACCTCTTATAATCCGCCTGCTTGTCTTTTTCCCAAACCAATAAAACTGGCATTTTCTACCGTGAGAGGTAAGCAGAATTTTTCTAAACAGTAAAACTTCTGAAATGCTATATCTAAATGAGGAAGAGGAACACTCATATTTTTCAGAGCTTTTCTAAAGCAATGACTTTACAAAACTTTACTAAAATCAGGTTGATCCATACCTAGCGTATTGGGGTTGCATGGCAAGGTTCTGGTACTGGGGGGTGCTAGAGAGGGGTGGCTTCTGTGAGAAGTTGTTAAAAGCTTCCCCCATCTCCAAAAGAGCCAATACCAGCTGGCTCCAAGACAGACCCACCACTGGCAAAGGCCAAGTCTGTCAGTGAGGGCAGTAGTGCCTCTGGGATAACATATTTAAGAAGAAAAAAAAAAGTCATTACGCAGATATAGTTGCAGCCAGAGAAGAGAGGAGTGAGAATATGTGAGAGAAACAGACCTGCAGGCACCAAGGTCAGTGGAGAAAAAGGGGTAGGAGGTGCTCCAGAGCACCGGAGCAGAGGTTCCCCTGCAGCCTGTGGTGCAGACCATGGCGAGGCAGCTGTGCCCCTGCAGCCCATGGAGGTCAGCAGGGAAGCAGAGATCCACCAACAACCTGTGGAGGAGACCCACACCAGATCAAAGAGTGGGGGCATAGGGTGGGGAAAGTAGATAACTGTCATTGCTAACTATCACAGGAGTGTGTGGCAAGAGAGAGCATTTACCTATGAGTCATGCACTCAGAACAAAGATGCTGCCTACCAGTAAGAACAGCTGGCATCCTACTGAATTCATTCTCCAGTCCACCTCCTATTGTTGCAATTTCCTCACTCTGGGAGCCTTATAATCATGAAGAAATAATGACAGGTTTGATTTATTATCAAACTTGAAACACTGCTTGTAGCTCATGGTCAGAAGCCAACTGAAGTGCTTAGTAAAATGCTTTGTGAGTGGTTAGATCTCTTCTTTCTCTTCTTTCTCCTTTCTTCTCTTTCTTTTCTTTTTTCTGTTTCCTTCCTCCCTTCCTCCCTTTCTCCCTTCCTTCTTCCTCTCCCTCCTTTCTTCCTGGCTGGGAATCATGAGTGAGAAGGGAGGCAAGGTAAGAAGGGTTGACTTCCGAGGGTTAGGTAGGGGATTTCTGGTGGGAGTGGAGGACCTCCTGGACCTTGCAGAACGAGAATAGTTCTTCATTTGCCTTTTCACTTGAAATAACAAATTGTCCTCATGTTCTGTATCTACTGGTACTTGGCAAGTCATAGCCGGGGGAATTCCCTTGTTGTCAGGTATATACACAGCTCTCTGCTGGACTCTGAGAGATTAATGCATCCTCCTACCTGGAAAATATCAGGAGGTAAGTTGCCTGTGTGCCCTTATCCTTTTCTGATGGAGATGGACTCACAATTATTTTTTATTAAAAAAAAAAAGAAAACGAAAAAAAGAGAAGGAGGTATATGAGGCATTGAAAGAACTGTCTGCATTTCACATACGAAGTATCTATTTTCAACAGAAGTCATCTATCATGACAGAATAAATTACATGATACCTCAAGGTAAAAATCAAGAATTGGAAAGCTGAGCAAAAGAATTTCAGTAAGTCAATGTACAATACACCCAGTGCTTTTATACACAGCTACATAAGTCCAGTGACAGATAAATACTTAGCATAAATGTGGTTTTAGTTATAGTCCATCAACTAAAGTGAGAGCCTAAAATCAATCTACCTGTGTGTTGAGGAAAAGTCGATCTTGCTCTTCCTAATATATTCAAGGTAAAAAATAAGCATAAAAGCCCAAAAAAGTGACTTGACAAAACTGATTTGAAACAGAACCCTTTTTTCTTTTTTTTCCTTTTTTCTTCTTGTTTCCTATTTCTTTTTTTTTCCTTCCCTTTTTTTTCCTCTTGAGAAGAAGAAAAAGAAATAATAAATTTACTTTCCCTACAATTCTCCAGGGAAAGAAGCACACAGTTCTAGCTCACTTTGTCCATTCACTGGTCTCTGGGAGAGAAATCCTTGGGATATTAAGGATTTGATGGGAAGAGCTATTAGTTTTTTCCCCAGAGTGTAGTGGGGGAAAAACCAGTATTGACTGGAGCATCTGGTGCAGAACAATGGTCTCTTCCTTAAGGGCTTTCAGCTGCAAATCAGGGCTGTACTCTGTAACTGCTCCCTGCTGGGTGTGTGCAATATTAGTAATAAAGTTGCTTATTCTTTTCCAAATTAGAAGAAGCAGGACTTAACTCCTAAATTAATGCAGTAGAGATATGACAGCAAGTATGTGTTCATTGAACTGGACGTAGATTACGTGGTGATCAAGAGAAAAGCTCTGTGCTAAACCAGTCTGTGGGTAAGCCCTGCAGAGTTTCAGGGTACATGATTACCAAACGGTCCCTTGTCTGCTTGCCAGCCCTTACTAGCTCCACGGGAGAGTCAGCAGGAGAAAGGCCTGCTTGTGCACCATCCACTGTGGTGCAGACTGATGCATTAACTTCAAAACATCTCAGTCTTCAGCCAGTTAGACAGGAGACATGGCACTGGGGTGATAGAGCATAAGGCATACCTTCCCTTCTGGCAGTCCTCCTGCAGAGATAGATGTATCCTGTAGAGGGAGAGTGAATTGGAGTTAAAATTTCCCAGGACACTATAGCAAGATTTGTCACAGCTTGCCTGACACAGCTCTTGCAATTCTCCTGAGCAAGACTACTTATATCTACTTTTGTGAAGAAGTTAGAGATTTTCACACAGAGAGCATTAGGCAAGCACTAAGTATGTTTGTCTCTTTGAAATAACCAAGCAGTTAAAAATATTGAAAAAACTATACAGATGAGACTACTTGACAGCAATCTCTGAATGTGCATTGATTTAGAAAACTTTGCAGGCATGAAAGCAAGATTCTTGCATCCAGCATTTTGACACATATTTCCTTTTACTGCAATTCAGATAAACTGATTGGTCTGCATTACTAGGGAAAGGTTCTGTACTGATCACTGGACTTGACATGTAATCCTTGCCTTAGGGACTTGTTTGTGTTAGACTCTTTTCATCTTATAATTTCCTACAGTTATTTCTCTTGGTGAAAGCCATTAACTCTGGGATAGTGAGAGCAGGTTAGAACTCTTCAGGATACATCACAGGCATGATTAGCAATTTTGGTCTGGCTCAGTCTGTTGCCCGTTGTAGTGGCTAAACAAAGTCCATGTAATGCAGAATCAAGACCTTTCCTCTTTGCACTCCTGTGGCATTTGGCTCCATCTCTACTCACTAAGGAGCTGTAATCCTGACAGGTTTTTGTTGTTAGGATTTTTTAAGAAATGAAGCGAAACCACGTGGTTAATACTCTTCAGTGTCAGTTCTCAATCGTCTGTCAGATGACAGTATTCCTTCCTCCCTGGCCTCCCAGCTGAAGCAGTTGTGCCTTTTCAGTTTGAATTGCTGATACTTGAGACTTCAAAGGGGACTGCAAATTAGCAGGTGAGACCACTGCTGACAGATGTGGTCTGTGAGGCTCTCTGGTAACAGATACTCTCCATGTGCTATATAAGTCTGTGGACACTTGTCTGTATTAAAACTGGAAAGTGAGCATGCTAACACTGTTATAAAGAAGGCATTGCACATTAACAGCTCATCTAAGGTAACTTTCTTTGGCCCCTGCTGCAAGACAATCCCTATAAAATTTGATAGACAGGTCAGATTGTACCAGTTCATGAGATTATGAATCTGTCCAAACTGCAAAGTGTCACTGGGACAAAAAGAAGCAGAGTATTTTCGAGCAGAAAGCATTTGGCCTAAGCACAACACCAGTCTTTTACTACTGTCTTTATTTAAGGTCTCATCCAGATGTGACAACCACTCATTGATGCCCACAAAACTCCTGGGATAAAATTCGGTGTAACATATCTCAAATCAATGGAACTGCTTCTGCTTTTAAAAGCAAATTAAAGCACGCATCAATATGTTTTCCTTGACGTATTTGGAACCCTGAAATCATAGCAGAGTTAGTTCTGATGAGACAGAAGGAGTAAGCCAGCAGG